TTAACATTTAGTGTGTGTGTGTGTGTGTGTGTGTGTGGCCAGCTCAGCCCACCAGGGGGCGCGGCTGGCTGGCATGTGGTGCTGGGGGATCGAACCGTGGTCCCTGTGCTTTGCTTAGCTTAGTTTGTTCCAAGTAGGTGCTTTAGACCACTGAGCCATCTCTCCAGCCCCAGTGTTCACTTGTAAATGTCTCATTCAGCCAGCACCCAACATTACTTTCGTTATTTTCCATTTTTTGATGGTGGTGGTACTAGAGATTGAACCTAGAAATACTCTATTGCTGAGCTATGTCCCCAACCCTTTTGCCTTTTTAATAGGATCTCACTAAGTTGCCCCGGCTGGCTTCGGCCTTGTGCTCCTGAGTTGCTGATATGACAGGCTGGAACTACCAACAGCCAACTCTGCCACTTCTTTTTCAACTGCAATCAGAGGCAGCCATCTTGAGAGGATAACCACCACATAATATTCACAAACTTTTCACAGAATCCGTGTTTTTAAAAGTGGTGCTAATACTTTTGTTGTGTTGTTTACACTGCTAACCAAATGAAAAAGTAGTCTTACCTGGATGCTCATATCAAAAGGAGTCAGTTCATTTTCACCCTGAGACTCAAACATGGCCCTGGAGGCATCCACCAAAAAAATCAAGCTATCTCTTCCTGAGTATTTATATTCACCTGTGGGGCAAAAAAGCAAAAGACAATGTTTACCCTTATATTCGTATTTAGCATGTTTACCATTCACACAAAACAGAGAAAAGTCCCTAAAGCAAAAGTGTACACTACTGGGCAAGGGATATAGCTCAGTAGCATAAGCACCTGCCTGGCAAGCACAAGGTCCCAAGTTTGATCCCCTGTACTGGGGGGATAAAGTCTTAAAGTATACACTAAAGAATTATAAGACAGATACCCTTAAAATCATCATCCAGGGCAGGCAACAGAAACAAAATTGCTTATGACACACCTAAAGACATCAGCACCCCAGAGTCCAGCCTATGTGCCCATCCAATTACAATACCCAGCTCAGTCCAAAGGAACTATTATCCTGACCACTGATAACCACTTCCTATTCTTTATAGTTTTATCATTCAGCGACATCCCTAAACATTGATCATTAAAAGTCAAAGTTTTTATTTTTTCTTAAGAGATATTTTTGGAGTCTTTTATTTTCCCTTATAAATCATCTGCTAAAGAACCAGGATGCTAAAAGGGGGGTAGGGGGACCTAGATCAGTAGAATAAGCACCTGCCTGGCAAGCACATGGTCCTGAGTTTAATTCCCGAAATTGGAAAAAAAAAGAAAAAGAAAAAGAAAAGGCCACTCTGACAGATACATTTAACTTTCCTACATTTCGAATTGGGTCAGCTATATTCTCTGTTGTCTCCCCCACCTCCCAGGGACTCTCTAGATCTCTACCACTGAACTACATCCCCAGCGTTTTAAATTTTGAAGCCAGGGTCTCACTAAATGGGCCAGAAAGGCCTTGCACTTGAAATCCTCCTGCATCAAATTCCCAAGTAGCTGGAGTTACAAGTGGGCACCACACCCAACACACTGCCTTTTTTGTGTGTTTGTTTGAAACAGATTCTCTAAATTGCCTAGCCTGGGCTCAAATTTCTGATTGTCCTGCCTCAATCTCCTCAGCAGTTGATTACAAACATGCACCATCACATTCAGCTATAATCTTAACACAATAAACCTAAGTAGCTGCTTTTTACAATGCAACACAGTAGTACTGCACCCGTTTAAAGTGTTAACAAAAACTGCCTTAACCAGGTAAAACCTACCTCTTAGCCATCTACTTTAAGAAGATATGGAGAGGGCTGGTGAGATGGCTCAGTGGTCTAAAGCACCTACTTAGAACAAGCTAAGCTAAGCAAAAGGACAGTGACCGTGGTTCAATCCCCAGCACCACATGCCAGCCAGCCCGCCCCCTGGTGGGCTGAACTGCCCCCCCCCACTAAAATAAATAAATAAATT